GGACTATGATCGCGTTGTTAATAGACTGGCGCCCACTATCTTATTATCATCCAATACAGAATCGCCATTTCCTCTCACTTCCACCGTGCCTGCTTCTAAGGTCAAATATGGAAATGCTCCTAAAGAGGCCATCCTTCAGATACCTACTAAGCTAAATTTGACTGAGACAAAAGGTGTTAACTACTTTTCCGATGAATACAACAGATGTGAAATCCCTTCTGGGCAGCCATCTTTCGGTCCGGAATTTGCTCTTTCGCAGAACCATCAACATAACTGCTTTGGTACATCTCTGTTATCTGTTGATTCAGACTCTAGGCATACAGAATCTCTTAGCTCTCAAGAAAATAAATATGGAGAAGAAGGCTTTCGACCGGGACCGGAGATTTCCACTCATTTCTTCAATTCTCCAGATCAGACGAATCTATCTTTTTTACTTCCTCCAGCAACAAAATTGTCCAGTCAGCCAATATCCGATCACCCTTCAAGTTGCATTGCTTCGATCCTGCCGCAGGAAATTGTATCTCTATCTCATCAACCGAATGAATTGACCAAAACTCAGATATCGGCTTCAGATACTGCCATCTTATTCACTGATATATCCCACAAGCTAGATATACCTGATGGAACTAATGAACAAGCAAGAGAGGTAGAATTGATGGACAAGGCGGACAAAGTAGATTCGGAGAAGACGGTTGAAATGGAAGTTACTACAGGGTGGTCCACTTTTTCTTTCTTTAGAGGTAAAGTTATAGTGCTGAAGATTGTTTGCTGAAATATTTTATGCAAGCCTAAGAAAATAACAATTTAAATACTGATTTGATTTATAAACTATTATCAAATTTCATTCTAAGATCGTTTGGTTTATTAGTAGCTGATTTACCGACAATTTGTTAGAGGGTAGTTTGTATTTATTGCCTAAATTTCACAGTATTTGATCAGATATTGCTTTATTGTCTAAATTTTGATGCGGCTCTTATTTAATTATTACCTTCTTAAATACTCTTCTAGTCAAGGAATTGTTCAAATTCAAGTAGCACAAAATTTACCACTAGACCATTCTCTTTGGATATTATCCTCTAAACCCATATAAACTCTGGAATAGAGCTAGGACTCAGATATAATTTTCTCAATTTGGCTCCTCATATATTATATACCTTATGCAATTTTAATCTAGAAATCATATCTTATATTTAATGTGGTCAGATAAAACATGGTCTATTAAATGATTCGGGCATTTGCCGACTCATTTTTCACATGAGGATCATTGATATCACATCGTCAAATGGCCCTTATAGATAGTCTTTCCTGATTGTTATAATACAGTCGTTGAAAAAGTAAAACAGTGATATACTGGGATGAATATCTAATACTGAATACTCTAAGAATTGTGACACGTAAAGTTGTTTTGCCGATGCTTGAATATTTATTACTCCGCACAATACCGTATGCATTCTTATATCTCATATATTGTTAGGAAAAAACTTGTTTCAGCCCCTCTATCACGACTACTTTAGTGATAAATACACT